ATGAACTAAAGAATATTTTTAATAAATAATGTTTTAAAATAATATAAAAACAAAATGAAATAAAATTTAAATAATAATAATAACAAATATTATTTAATTAAAATAAACGAGCAAAAATTTTTATAAATCAGTTAAATGAATTAGAGTAATATTTTGATTTATTAGTAAATACAATGTATGTCAATGTTTTAAAGAATATTCAATTTTATTTATTTTATTTATTTTTTTTAAATTATAGTTAAATATTTGCTAAGATCTTTTTATTTACTGAACATACCCCAGCAACATGAACACAGGGTATACGCAAAGGGGGTAAACACAAGAATAAGAAGAAGTAGAAGAAGAAGCAAAAGAGAAGAAACGAATCCCTTATGTGTTACTGAGACTCAATTGGTCCGCGTGCGAGCGCGGGGGACCTCTTACAGACTCGACTGGCTGCCAATGTGTGAATTACGAGTGTATTTTGTAGCGTCTGAGATTTGCAGTCAGTTTTAAAGCCAAAAGAGCTAGAAACGGCTGAAACACACAAAAATCAACATCAATTTGAACTAAAATAAAAAGTCGAATCTAATTTGCTTTGCGAAACAACTGATTGACTACACGAATCTCTACAGAAATCCAATAAAAATCCCGCCAAAAAAAAAAAAAGAAGCAGAATCCAATGACTAACAAGCCAAAAGAAGTGAAAATCCGCAAAGAAGTTTCCCAAAGAGCACGGAAAAGTTGGGGCTAAAAATCTTAATTTTCCACTACAGAGAAACGTGACAAATTTTCGCTGGTCAACGCATTTCCCAAAACTGTTTCAAAACTTTACACATACTCAAGGCTGTGTGTGTAAGTGTGTGTGTGTGGTTGTTGTTGTTGTAGGTCAATTGTTTGTTGCCTGTTTTCTTTTTTTTTTTTTTTTTGCTTTTTGTTTTTGGTCTTTTGGGTTAGCCCCAACAACCAATTTTCTTCGCCTCCATTTTATGTTGCTTCCTTGTTCTTTGTCTTCGTTTTCAGTTAACTCAAGTGTACACTTGGCCAGAAAGTGTCTTAAGCAGCCAATATGTTAGTTGTTAGCATGTTAATTTTATGGACAAGCTACTCCTTTAAGCCAATTAGTAGCTGACTTTTATGCATGACAATTGAGAAAGTTGTCGATTGTCAGTTGATGGAGAGAGGCTGGGAAGGGACTTGAGTTTTTTACTGTGGGAATGGGAATACGTTAGGAGTGGATCAATTCAATAATACCCAAGAACGTGGAAGTGGAAGTCTCTTATGCTCAAGCTGTCACTCATCAAACAGCTCTCGCATAGGCTAATGGATTTCCTATATATTATCTGAGATTTACTTCATCTGTAAATCGGATTCTTATTATATTGTGAACAATTTTTAAATTTTAAATTTCTTTGGAGATACGTAAATCTCCATTTTACTAATTTAGTTCTAGAATCCTAAGTTAAACTGGAAAAGTAGACGAATTGCTAAGTTAAAGAATTCAGCCATAGCTATAAGGACATTTACAGTTAGCACTTAACAGAATATTAAAGCTGATGTTTGAGTTTCATATTGTGTTATACTCCCCCATATATCTAAACAGTCTATAGAGGAAATTAATAGTATCTAACTCAACTCAACAATTAACTGTTAATCACCTTTGCTTGACTCCACATAACCTTACGAGCCTCTATTCATTCGTTATGCAAATAGTTCTCTGATGGACTATAGACTCTACTTGTTCCCATTTTACACCCTTACACATTAAATGCCAGCTCAATTTCAGTTGGAAATCAATGTCTATATTATTCAAGGTTTCATTAAAATGGACGGCATTGCTGTGTATGTAATCAACTGTAGAATGGACCCTCGCACGATTAAACATTTCCTCGAGTGCCAAACAAAAACTGTCAGCCACATTGGCCAAAAATGTCATTTCATCTAAATGCACCTTTTTTCCTTTTGTCAGTTTTCTCATTTGATTTATTGTATGGCCAAAAGTATTTGCGGTCCCAGTGTGTGTGTGTGTGTGTGTAGGGTATATGAAATGTAAATGTCTGGCTGATTTGTTTAAACAAACGTGTGTGTGTGTGCGTGTGTGTGTGAGGGCCTTGTCTCTACAGCTGTCAGGTTCAATCTTGTGCTCGTTTGTGCCCTTAACCCAAACCTGAACCGCATTTTCTTCTAGTGTTTGCTCTGGTTTTGCTACTGTTGAGGTGCTCTCTGTGTCCCTCGCTCTCTCTCTTTCTCTCTCTCTCTCTCTCACTCTGTCGTCCACTTGTCATGTCACTCAGCGTCATTGTCATGCAGACAATGCCAAGCAGTTGGACAGTCGGAAAGGAAAGGACAGACAGATTTCAGTCTTTAGTCTGCTGCCCAGATAGCTCAACTACCCCACCTCGCTCTCCCACTCTCTCTCTCCCTCTCTACTCTTAGCTATTTTTCGGCTTTTGCATTTCATTTACATTTTCAATGTCAGTCTCGCCTTCTATAGTCTCTCGCTGCGAGCTGTTAACCAGCCGTTTGCTGACATTTCACGTAATTTACCGTTACAAATCAATTGTCAAGCTATGGTCCAGCCTAGCTCACAATAGACATGGCCTCCACCCACCACCCGTCCCTTCGCTGTGTCAGCGCGTGCCAATGCGTTGATAGCCTTAAGTAAAAGCAACCGCATCGACCAGCTGCCCAAAGTGTTGAATCGTTCGTCCAACAATACTAAAATGGGATGTTCCAATATTTTATGCACAATTTATGTTAATTTGCCCACAGTTTAGCCACACACACAAAGAGAGAGAGAGACAGAGAGAGTGAGCAACATATTTTTATAGCCTTGCTCGATATTTATGCGCGATTTTTTTCGCATTGAACAGAAATTGTTTGGCTGCTTATAGTATGCCATCTATATATATGTTTATACATATATAAATACGTATATGAGCGTACGTGCTTTAGCAAAAGTTTTCGGTTTCATTACACACACACTCACACACACAGAGACATTCACGCACATGTGTTTGTCCTGGCTTTCTGTTAACATTTTGACAGCGAAGGCTTTAAGTTGTCAGCGCGTTCTTTAGCCATATTATTGCCATTGTTGCTGCTGTTATTGTCGCTGTTGCTGCTGCTGTTGTTGTTGTTGCTGTTGTTGTCGTAGCATTTTGGCGCTTATTAACATATTGTTGTTTTGCGCCTGTCGCGCCATTGACAATTCATTTTGTTATCACTACACATGCTAAAGCTTAGCGGCAAAAACTCTAAAAACAAAGCCCCAAAAACTTTCGCTCTAGCAAAAACAACATTTGCACAAACACGACTATGCGTTGCGCCTGTATGCCCAAAAAAAGGGTTGTCTGCCACTAGGGGTAGGCCAGGTTGGGTTATCGATTATTTGAGACAAGAAGAAAACTCATATATGACTTTAAAATCTTTATTAAAGATTATTAAAGCAAGTCTAATACATTTTCTATAGCTATATAGTTATCGATAAATTATTCATATGCATATATTTATCGATAATAATCATTTCTTCTGAACGTAGATACGATTTTTAAAGCATATAGCTAGCAAGCCAATAAGAAGTCTTGTATCCTTTCTTTTTTTTAGCTTGTAACATTTATCGAAAGTAATCGATAACATTTCTAACTTATACATGAGTTTTTTTACACCATAAAAATTTATTTAATTTTCAAAAATAAAAAATAAAATAAAATATATGTTGAGCATGTAGCAGCTACTAATAAATGAACGATTTGTTATCGATAACATGATTTATCATCCCACATTTCTATTTAACTGCAACTAAGAATTACAAAAACCAATTTTATTGCGAAAGCCTGAAAATATGGTACTAAATGTACACTAACGATATGTTATCGATAACAGAATTCATCATCCCACATTCCATTATAATTGAAAGTGAGAACCAAAAAAACTCATTTGATGCGAAGGCAGGAAAAATATATAGTTGAGCTCATTTGGTGAACGATATGTATGGAATATTATCGATAAATTGATTATTGGACATTTTAAACTAAAAATTGGCATTATAAAAAGTCAAATTCTGTTTAGAATGACTCGAATTTAATGCAAATGCTTTTTTATTTACATTGAATATGCCCGCTTTTCCTTTGATTAGAGGGCATCAACAAATACTTTTTGCCAACAAAGTATTTATGTTTTGGCATGTGAAAAACTTTGCTGTCAGTTGGGAGATTTGTGCTAATGATATGCTCTGACAGTTGAACTAAGCTAAATACACAAAAGCTACCAGAATCTGCCATATAATAAAATAACAAGCCTGCCACACCGCCAGCCTGTCTATCTATCTATCTGTCTGTCTATATGTCTGCCTGCCTGTCTGTCTGCCTGTCTGTCTATCTAATATGTTTGGATGATTAAAGAGTAGCTTAAAGGGTGGCAACAGCAGCTCAGGTGCAACAGCTGCTGCATCAAGTTGCAAATAGTTGGATGCGCATATGCATATGTGCCAGCATCTTATGACTAAATTGCCATGCACTTTAGTTGAGATAGAGCAACGGGAGAGAGAGGGAGAGGGAGAGAGAGAGGGAGAGATAGATGGAGGAGTTGAGTGTTGGAAGTTGAGGTAGTAGCTGAAAGCGTGCTTAGCTGCCAAGACGTTGCTGCAGCTGCCTCTAAAGGCATTTTAAGCTGTGCAACACACGCACACACACACACACATACACTAACACACATATGCAGGCACACACCCATGTGGTTGCCCGTTATTATTAGCATAATTACAGGCGCATTAGCGTGCTGCGGCTTTGGGCTTTGAGCTCTGGGCCTTCCGCCTGGCCAATTGGCTGTGCTACCTGATTATGACAGCCTAAAAGCCAGCCACCAGCCACCGCACCCAGCCCTACCGCACCGCCAACAACTTTATGTAAATTTCCAGCATAGCTACAGTTATACATATATATTTAAATGAATACATTTTGCTGTTCGCTTGAATTTTCATTAATTTTGCATTAATTTCTCTACGTTTTTTCTACTTTCAGCTGAATTTGTCGACAGCCGAAAGAATCACACAAAAAATTAAAAGCCTTAAAGAGCCCAACAGCAAAAGCAACACAGGCGAAGCGAAAGAGCGGGAGATAGAGGGAGAGAAAATCCGAGAGAGAGTGACATCTGATAGCTGTACCTAGAGCTATAACTAGGAATTGAATACGATGCGTTTACAGCTGCTCGGGCTGTTTTGCCTGGCATTAGGCGCAGCTCTGGCTGCTGCCTATAACAACAACAGCAACAGCAACAACAACAACAACAACAACAACAACAACAACAATGCCAACACACAACAGCAGCCAATCTACACTTATCTGACCACATCGAGCACTTCCAGCCACAGGAATGATGCTCCAGCCATGCAGCCGGCCATTGTATACGAGGCGTCTGTGCCAAAGCAGGAGACGCGACCCGTCAGCACGGCCAGCTCGACCACAGCGGAGGTGGCTTCAAAGAAAGTCATCGGTTCCAGGTGAGTGCACACACACAAACAAACCCACACGCACACTCACACACAGACATGCACACACAGACATGCACAGAGTCTGAGCGCGTTTTTAATACCCTAAAGCCATTGCAAATGTATGAGTTCGGGCATATTGATTACGTGTGAAAGCATGTAACGGGTAAGGGAAGGAAGCATCAAAGAGCTAAGGCATAGCTATGGAATAAGATTAATAATGCATTGCAACGGTCTGTGCCTTGTACTCTATAAAAAATCCTTAAATTTCGACTTGGCCTTATGGAATTCAAATTCTGTCATTTTAATCAGATCGATAAATATCGATATCAATCGTACTGAATTTTCACCGCATCTGAGCTTGAGTATACCCAGAATTATAGTTCATTAGGTATGTTATGTAGATCTAAGCAAATTCTTTATTCAGATCAGTAACTTTTGTATTAACCTTAATTATCGATAAGTTGCGAATTCATTTCGAATTGTATATTGCTCGTGTGTTACAGACATAAAACAGTTATACCACGTATATACATGTATGTACAATGATAAAAGTATAATAATAATATTTAGACACTACCGTTTCATATATTCGCGCTGATCGATAATTTCTTCCATATTTTTCAACTATATTTCACAAGTAACTCTTATCGATAACTTTTTTTCCTTCACAACTTACGCGCTGAATCTCTTGCTATTCTAGCTCTCATCGCATAACATGATCTCACTTTACCTAAGGGAAATAGTTGATTAGGAGTGAATGTTTGTCCGCATGTCGCTCGAGGTATTCGGCTGAGGCTATTTTCCAGTCAGGCACGCCCGACTAGAGCGCATTCGCTGCTGCTGCTGTTGGTTTTCTTTTTTTTTTTTTTAGAGTAGAGGCCGCGCACCACCCGTGCACCACTCCAGATTCTCGGCTTGGCCTTTGTTTGCATTTGTTGTTGCTGTGTCGCTGGTTGTTAGGCAAAAGTCTTTTGTTTGCGCAGCGTTTTTGCAATTTTTGCCACTAATTGAAATAGAATTTGCCTTTTGTTGTTGCGCGATGCTAGGAGGTATGGATGCGTGGAGTCGTGCAGGGGGAGCGGGGCGTGGTCAGCTAGCCAAATGCCTTAGTATTTTAATTAATTTGCTCAACAGGCGCCACTTGAGGGGCCCCAAGCCCCCGCAGCCCCCTTCAGACCCCAAACCCATTTCAAGCCCATTCTCGCAAGGCCAATAAAACACGTGGCATACCTAAAGGCGCAGCATTTAAAAATAACAAAGTAACAGGAAAAAAATGGAAAAAAGAAGAGGAAAATTTTTAAAGAAAATGGAAATTGTAAAAGGAAAAACAACAACAAGCTAGGCACAAATTGAGTGCTCATTAAGTTCAAATCAATGCTAATCAGTTTGGCTTCTCTCAAGCACTTTTCATTGGGGTTTCCTTTGCCCAGTAGCTCCACTTGCTCCACTGGACAGCCAACCCCTTCGACCGGCTGCTTATGAAAATTAATATTTTTCCTTGCCATTTGCCTTTGCCTTTGTCTCTGCCCCGTTTGTGTATTAACAAATTCACGGCTCTCGCTTGCGGCATATGGTAAACAGTTCCCGCTTAGCGCTTGATAATGTTAACGAACAGCTGTCGCTGCGAGCGACTCATAATGCTTATGTTAATGTTAATGGTAATGATCATTAAGAGACGCTTACGTTTTTATGTGGCATAACCTGGATGCTGCTAGGTGTAGCTGTATATATGTATATGCATATATATGTAGCTTGTTATTCTTGAATCATTTGGTTTTTTGTTGCACACATTCAAACAAATTTTTAAATTGTTTCTTTATAATAAAAAAGTTAACTTTTTTTTTAAATTATAGAATAAATATAGTTAATTGAATTAATGCTTTTGTAGTAATAATTAATAATTAATTGCCTTTTTTATATATAAAAACATATAAAGATTCATATATATATTTTTTAAAATTTAATTTTATGTTTTTACATATAAATATATTGATATATTTATAATTTATTTATATATTTATTTTTATCCGGCATCTATCACATTTGTTTAATATACATATGCATACAATTTTTTTCTTTATTTTACTTTCCATAAATATTTTATGTATAAGTTTTTTATACATATTTTTCTCAGACTTCATTTTCATTTGCTAAATTTGCATTAATTACCTGATATTATTTTTGTTTTCCTCTTTTTTTTTTTTTTTTTCTATTTTATTAAGCACATAGAAAGTCAATTTTAATGCTAGCTTATTTTAATCAGGCTGCCATAAACAAATAAATAAATTATGTAAAATGCCAAAAACAATCTATTTTTTCAACATTAATATATCCGACACAATGCAAATGGCATTGCAATGCCTGCACAAAGGAATTATTATAAACATGCTGATGACTGTGAGATGCTCTCTTTGCGTTCCATTATAATAGAAATCGAATATTTTATTGAATGCATCAGCCATTACTAACTATGAATATCATTAGATTGGAATATAAAAAGAAAAAACTTTGATTATTACTTTAAAAATTAAAAAAAAAAATATATATAAAAAAAAATTTTTTTTTTAAGTTTCAATTAATGCAGCACTATAAATAAAATATTAATAAAAAAAGAAAGATTTTTTTTTCTTTTTTTAATATAAAAATATTCTTAAATGGAAATTTAGAATTCATATATATATATATGAATTTACTTAATTATTAAACCTTTTATATTTGGCTGTTTATTTGATAGTTAATGAATGGTTAATTTCAAGGACCTTGCAACATATTATGTTAATATTTTTTCATTTATATATTTCACCATCGCATGACTAACAAAGTTTTCAAACAAATGTTTTCAACACTTTTACACGTAGAGCTCTGGAGCACCCCCAACAGTGGCACGCCCACTCTAATGGCTATGCGTCAATCCAGTCAGTCAGCCTGCCAAGGCAATTAAATTAAAATTTATAATAGAATATTGCATAAAATGTTCGCTTTCAGTTAAAATAACTGAGCTTTCGTATAATAAATAATATAATAAATAAGATAAATTTTCAATTATATGCTTAAAAATGATTTAAGTAAAAAGATTTTGCGAAATTATGAAACTCTGATTTTTCAGCTGTCTGCTGCATAATCATGGCCAAAACGCACACACACACACATATAGAGAGAGGCATGGCTAAATCAGGCAAGACAGTTGTATGACATGCAGTTAGACAGCAGCAACAGCAGCAGCTGCTGCTGCATATGATTTTGCAGCACGCGCGATTCACGTGCTTAAATGTTAATGATGTGCCATGTAGAAATCCCTAACTATGCACACACACACACACATACACACACACCCATATATATGTATAATGCGTGTAGCTATGTTAACTAACTGCCAGCTAGGCCAAAGGCAAAGGCAAATGCAAATGCATGCGGGGAGGGGGCGGTGCATGGCCATCGAGCGTGACTATGTGACTTTTTTCTCCTTCTTCTTCTTCTTCTTGCACACGCTGCGATTGCAGTGCATTCAATTTCCATTAAAATGCCAACGAATGCGCCGCAAAATATGCACCATGACGTGGCTGTAAAATAATTTGCTCAACTTAATCGCATCCATTTGCCATCAATCTCTGTCAGCTGCAGCATATCTACATGAATTTCGTTTGCTTTCTAATTCACAGCGATGCAGCGGTGCCCGCGGTGGCCGTCATACTCGATGGCAATGAGCCGCAATTTACGGATGCCCTGGGCCAGAAGGTGCCCAAGCCGCAGCCATCGCTGCAGGTGGCCAGCCCCATTGATCTGCTGAATCCCGATCGCTATGAGTTCTACACGTTCGACGAGCACGGCGAGCTGGTTAAACGCCTGATGACCATGCAGGAAATCCAAAGCATTGTGGCCAATGGCGATGGCGAAGGTCCGTCGATAATTCATGCGGCACCGCAGCAGGGCAGCGAGCCGGAGAAGAAGATGCAGGACATTGTGGACAAGGTGCAGCATGTGCTCAACAAGCAGGTGGCCAGCAGCTCGTCGAAGAACGGCTCGGTGGAGGTGTTGCCCGTGCTGGATACGCCCGATGTCTCCTCGTCGTGGTCTCTCATCTTGCCCGCCATCTTTGGCAATACGGGCGGTGACATCTTCCCGCAGCAGAAGCCACAGCAAATTGTTATGACGCCCGAATCGGAGCTGGTGGAGACCTCAACACGCACCACAACCACCACAAAGCGTGTGACCAAGAAGCCGAAGCCATCGAAGCGCAAGCCAGGCACCAGACGCAAGCCCAGCACCACCACTGAGATGACACCGCAGGTGGTGCAGGAGGACCTGGATCCACTCGAGTCTGTTTACACGGGCATTCAACAGTACCAGCAGGCGGCTGCCAATATGCCCGACTTCGATGTCGCCCACATGCAGCCCATCTACCAGAAGTTGCCCAGCACCACTCGCAAACCGGAGACAACCACACGGCGAGTTTTCTACAACAATCAGGAGATTGTGCACACGCCCACCTCGTCAGGCAGTCCGCACAGCACCACTGAAAAGGTCCAGCAGGTGGCCAAGAAACCAGCCAATGTGCATCGCAAGCCCACCCAACCACATCGTGTGAAGAAACCCAATGGTGGTCATGGCAGCACTAGCAGCACCACTCATTCCACTGGTGGCAAGCAAAAGATAAAGAAGAAGACAACCACACCAGCGCCCACCACTGCCGCTCCTTCCACCGCCGCACCCACCTCTGCACCCACCACCGCAACCACCAGTGCACCAAATCCTGAAAGACCAGCATCAGCAGCAGCAACAACAACCACTCAACCACCAGTATCCACCACACAAAAGAAGAAGAAGCGCAAGCCCACCCGCACACCTGGACATTCCAGCACCACCAGCAGCGGCGCTAAGCCGAACAAGCCCAAGCGTAAACCAACCACCAAGCCCAAACCACATCAACCAGCCACTGCACAGGCAACTGCCACATCAGCACCACATCACCAAGAGGTCAGCACACATAAGCCAGCGCGCCCACATCGGCCACACAAGAAACCCAAGCCCAGTAGCCCCACCACAGAGACGCCACCAACGGCCTCATCCGGAGCTCCTGATCCAGAACCAACATCCGGATTGTTGGTGAGCACAACGCATGGGGATGCTATAGATCCTGTGCCAACCACAGCGGCTACAACCACCAGCACCACACCAAGCACCACAACGGCAGCACCCCCAAGCACCACCAGAAGACCCGCTTTGCATCATCAAAAGATACATGGCAAGCCCGCACATGCGAGCACCACAACCACCACTACCACTACCACCACCACCACCACCACCACTAAACCACCAGCTGCGGAACATCATCAGAAAATCCATATGAAACCTGTACACAATGCGCTAGTCGCAGCCATACCTAGCACAACAACAACAACAGCAGCGCCCACTACCAGCACCACCCATGCGCCTGTCTATCCCGTGCCCAGCTACGATGCCGAAGCCACCGAAAACTTGCCCACAATCGTTGCCCAGGACGAGGACAAGACGCAGCTGAAGAAGACGCCGTTGCCATTGCCCTCGCTCGCCCTGCTGCAGCAGCAGCTGCAACAGAGTGCCACACCATCGCCCGCACCACAATTGTCGCCGGATCAGATACTATCCATGGACCAAATCGTGCAGAGCTTGACGCAGGATCTGCTAGAGGGCGATCAAAAGGATGCCAATGCACCACCGGTCAAATACGACAGCGCAGATAGCAAGGAGCAAATGGAAGCTTTGGCCAACAAAAAGAAAATACCCGTTAGCAGCACCACAACAACAACAACAACAACAACCAGCACCACTAGCAAGCCAACAACAACAACCACCACGACCACAACCACCACAGCTAAGCCGATAATACCGTCAGCCAATCCATTGGCAGCCAACTATGGCGGCAGCACCTTGGCCACCATGTTGGATGAGGAGGACACCAGCACCACTGAGGACCTAAACGAATCCACCGAAACCACTGGCAATAAGCAAACCACACTGAGCAGCATGGAAGGTGAACAGACGCCGATTGTGCTCATAACCGCTAGACCACAATACTTCACCACCAATCAGGCCGCACCACAGTTGCAGCCACTGACCACGGTGCAGACAGACCCCACGCAGCAGGAGCCAGAGACCACCGAGTTGCCCAGCTACACACAGTTCCTGCAAACCACGCCCATGGCAGCGGATGACGAGCTCGAGGCAGAGGCAACCACAATTCGGCCATTTGAAGAAGTCAATCATGTGGTTAAGTTCGAGCCACTCTATGCCGATGTGCCCGAGGCTGTGGTCACGGAATTGACGGAGCAACCCACAACGAACGGTTACTATGAACAGTTCGATGATGATGAGGCAACCACTGAGGCAGCACCACGTCTGCCCGTTACTGAGCGTGTCACCAGCACCACCAATGCCGTTGATGAAGACAGCACCGAGGTGACGCCCATGATAGCCAATCTGGTGGATCAGCTGAATCTGCAGGTGCTGCAGCCAACCGATCAGATTCTGATGTCCAATTTCCAGACCCAAGCCGCCACAGTGGCATCCACCCTGGTGGATGGCAGCAATACGCTAGTCGCCGATGTCTACATGAACTCGAATGAGACCAAGGATGAGCTGCAGTTCCTCATGTCCGATGTCATACAGCAGATCACTCAGCCCGAGAGCTACAAGCCAGTCAATGATGATGATGATGATAATTCGCATCGTCTGACCAGCTTTGCACAGTTGAATACGTCTTTCCTCTTGCCGCCCAAGCTAGAGACGAGACCAAAACCGAAACCGAATCCAGTGGTGGAGCAAAAGATAACAAGCGCAACGGAAGAGCAGATGCAGGAAATCACAACCATAATGCCAGTCAGAAACGAGGAGGAAAAGGAGGAGGAGCTCATCAAACAGGAAGCTGATTACATCAATACGCCCGCACCTGAACCAGAGCAGCTGGAGAGCAGCACCTACAGGGTGCCGGTGTTGTCCTTGTCGCAAATTTATGCACAGCAGCAGCAGGACGAAGATGATGAGCAGCAAATATTTGAGCTGGAGCGACTGGAGCAGCTGAAGCCAAGCCAAGCTGCTGACAAACAGGAAGTCAGTGAGCAGGCGACAAAGCTGGAAGAGCAGCAGAAGGAAGAAATGTTGAAGGAGGAGCAGCGGTTGAAGGAGGAGCAACGGCTGAAGGAGGAACAGAGGTTGAAGGAGGAACAGAGGTTGAAGGAGCAACAGCGGTTGAAGGAGGAACAGCGGTTGAAAGAGGAACAGAGATTGAAGGAGGAACAGCGGTTGAAGGAGGAACAACTGAAGGAGGAACAACGGTTGAAAGAGGAACAACTGAAGGAGGAACAGAGATTGAAGGAGGAACTGCGATTGAAGGAGGAACAACGGTTGAAGGAGGAACAGAGATTGAAGGAGGAACAGCGATTGAAGGAGGAGCAACGGTTGAAGGAGGAACAGCGATTGAAGGACGAAGAGCGGTTGAAGGAGGAACAGCGGTTGAAGGAGGAGCAACGGTTGAAGGAGGAGCAACGGTTGAAGGAGGAACAACTGAAGGAAGAACAGCGATTGAAGGAGGAACAACTGAAGGAGGAACAATTAAAGCAAGAGCAACTGAAGCTAGAACAGTTGAAGCAACAGCAGGAGCAAGAGCAGGAGGAGCAGGAGCAGCAGTCACAGTACCAGCAACAGCTAGCAACAACAATAGCGCCAGCTGATAGCTACGAAGCGACAACCATCGAGCAGCTGCAGTCGGAGGAGAGCAAGGAGACCAACTCAGTTGAAGAGACGACAACAGCCAGCAGCATCAGCAGCAGCAGCAGCGTGGAGCAGTATCTGCACGACGAGAAGCCAGATGCGCCGCAACGCGAGAGCGAGGAAGACCAGATGCCCGAGATGTTGACAAATGGTTACAACCAGCAAGTCCAAACGGAAGCCAACGTTGAGCAAATGGCGGCAACCACAATGCAGGTGCCAGCAGCCGAGCAGGAGCAGGAGCAGGAGCAGGAGGAGGTGCAGAAGCTGGCAGCAACGGTGGCTGGGTCAACAAATGTTTACCAGGACGCACAAGCGCAAGAACAAACATCAAGCGAAAAGGAAGCTGAAAAAAGCGAAGAGGATGCCAAAACAGAAGAGGAGCTGGACGAGCAGCAGCAAGAGGACGAGGAGCAGCTGAAGCAAAGTGTTGAGGATAGCGTCACTAATGCGGCACAGCTGCAGCCACAGTATACGGCCCAGGCATCTGAAGAGCAACACTATCAAGATAACGAGCAGGAGCAGGAGCAGACAACGGCCAGCGTTGAGTTGGTCACGGAAATACCGGGTGACATGTCCGTTGTTTCATCTGAATCGGATATGTCGCTCAGCTCGGAGCAGGTCACCGAAAAACTAGAGCTAAGCACTGTGCGCACCATGGAGCTGAACGAGGAGGCACTGGAGGACATATCCGATGAGCTGACAGCAACTTTGACCGAAGAGGATACCACGAGTGCACAAAAATATCAACTGGACGATGAGGATCCCTATGTCAAGCTGGGTGAGACGACGGCCAGCGTGGTGAAGCCACAGCAGTCGGAGCAAACGAAACCAGAGCAGGAGCTGTCTACAGAGAAGGCAGAGCAGACACAGCCACAGCAGAGCTACCAGGCTACATTGGCTTTGTCCCAGGAAAAGGAAAAGGAAACGGAGCAGGAACAGGAAGAGGAACAGAACTCCGAGCAGGAGCAGAACTACAAAGTGACCTTGCCTCTAGCTAGCTATGGAAATCAGCAAGCTGATGAGGAGGACGAAGAAGATCAAAACGATTATCAGCTGCCCATACTCCTGCCCAGCAGCAGCAGCAGCAGCAGTTCGACAACAACCACCACAAGCACCACAACGACAACCACACGAGCGCCCACAACGACAACCACCAAGCGACTGCACACACTGAAGCCCGTTTCGTATTATGTGCAGCCGTCGCTGCTCGGTGGCTACAATCAAGTGGAACCACAGCCGCCGAAACTGCTCGCCTACAATGCCAACAGCAACAGCCTGGCACAGCAGCAACAGTTGCTGCCATCATCGCAGCAGCGACCCATGCATCGACCCGCCTCGCTGACAAATTTAATGGCTGCATCCACGCAGGCAACGCGTCCGCCAGTTAAGCTCGAGCCGAGTCCGCAGAGCTCCCAGGGCTTGGAGGCCTCCACTTCCCGTCTCGATGAGGACGTCTTGTCCTTTGCACGGCTTTGCAATGAGCTCGCGTTTAGCTACTGGAAGTCCATCACCTCGGAAAAGATAAGCTCAGCCAGAAGTCTGGTCATCTCGCCGTTTGCGCTGACTTCAATGTTATCCATGGTCTTCCTGGGCGCGCGCGGCAGCACCTCGGGCGAAATGAATGAGATACTGAAACTCGACGATATGGTCACCTTTAATCCGCATTTGATTTTCCGTAACATCACCCAGTCGGTGGAGAGGTCCATGGAGCAAGAAATTGCAACTGCGGCGTTTGTGCGCGAAATCTTCAGCGATCGCGCGAATGGCAAAATCCTGCCCTTCTTCAAGGAGAAGACACAGCAGCTGTACGGCGGACATGTGGAAGAGGTCAACTTCCATGTGGTCAACGATATTGTCAGGCGTCGCACGAATCTGCTGGTGAAACGTCACACCATGGGCAAGGTTTTGGAGTACTTGCGCACGAACAGTGTTTGGGTAAATGGCCCGTTGGCCACAGTTTCAGCCAATCTCTTCCAGACAGACTGCTCCAAGGCATCGACAACGGATCGGGACGGTGAGATGTTCTTCCAGGTGCATCCGACGGTGCGTCAACGCCGACTGGTGCCCATACCCGCCGTGCTCTACCGCTCCGGCTTTACGGCTGGCTACGAACCCAAGCTGGATGCCACTGTCGTTGCCTTCGGACGCATTCAGGATACGGTGAGCACCATCTACGTGATGCCGGGACATCAGAGTTCGGTGGCGCCCACGGATAATTTGGATCGCCTGGAGCGCAATCTGGTGGAGCTGGCCTTTGGTCAGGATAATGCGTGGAGCAGCCTGATGACTTCGCTAATGGATCGGCCCGGCATGGAGGTGCAACTGCCACGCTTCTCGCATCGCTCGTTTGTCAATGCCTCGCTGGGACTGCAGAAGATGGGCCTGAAGGGACTCTTCAAATCGGACTTTGCTGACTTGCGCGGCCTGACCGGAAACGGTAATCGCGACATCTTCCTCTCCGACATGATACAGATCAATACGTTCAGCACTTGCGGCGAGGAGAAGATCTCCGATCATCATCACGTAGAAATGTACCCAGCACCGCCTCTACGCAAACGCAACAAGGATGTGGATGCAACAGACGACGATGCCTACGATTCGTCTGAGGCGATCGTAGACTTTGGTTCATTGGTGCAGGAGTCGGCATTGGGTCGTGGCTTCTACGATGACTTACTGGATCCCAAGTACTTGGAGCTGCCTCTACCGCTGCGTCCGCGTCAGGCGCGCGTGCCCGATGCGCCCAGACTGCGCTTCGACAAGCCCTTCCTCTACTTTGTGCGCCACAATCCAACGGGAATGATACTCTTCATGGGTCGCTTCAATCCACGTCTGCTGCCATGAACAAATCAAATATATAACGAATTCCCCCCTACCCCCAGCCAGCCTTAAGTAAACCAAAATACAGATAATAAAAAATCAAAATAAAACGTTGTTAAAGCCCCTCTCCTCCAGCTTGAATAGAGGCGTCAAAGCAAATTTAATGGTAAATTCAATTTGCATTCAATTAAGCTAATTTTATGATTAATGCGAATTGCTGTGCCTTAATCCCGCGTCCGGCCCCAACTCAAACGATACGAGATTGATGTGCAGCAAAATAATACTTAAAAACAAGGAAGAAAAATACTTAAAAAATACCTGCAGAACATATACCGAAAAAAGATTTACTTTGCTATTCAAATATATATTTAACTATATATTCATATTTTATTTTTTATATAAATATTTGCAAATCATTTTTAATTTCTGTTTTCTTTTTTGTGCTCTTTGGCTTGCATTTATCTTATTTGCATTATTATATTTTCTACGTGCCGCAAACAACAACAACAACAAAATAAAGTTAAGCAAATTGGCTACAAAATGCGAATGCAAATGCAATCATATTTTGGCAACAAAACAAAACAAAACGAAACGCAACACAAAATGTAATTTTAGTAAAATAAACTTAAACAATACGCAAAACTAAAAGTTATGTATGCTATTCTGTAAGCTTAATAAAAAACATACTAAATAAATATATATATAAATAAATGAATAAATAAAATATACAAAATATAAAATAATTGTATTTGCTAGTATTTCAAATTGATTCAACAGCTTTGTAGCTGCCCAGCTGCTTGTGGTTCAAGTCCAGAGCTTGTAACCTAGACCGGAAGTTTTTACTCTCTTTTATTTTCATTTTCATTGCCTGACAGTGTTGTGCAATGCTGTCCAATAAAACATGTGACGGAAAAACAGATACACACATACGCAGAGATAGCAAAGGCGAAGCATATACATGTATGTTCTTACGATAGATGAAATATAAATGAAAAAGTTTAGTGTATATAAAGCAATATTTATTATAAAGTGACCAGTGTTAGAAAATTTCTATAGTGACAAGAAAGGAGGCGTAACTAAAGGCAGTCTAAATCCATCCAAATTGTTTATACGCATAGAAGTCATTGCGATCGAGAAAAAAAACGAAAGCATAGATAAAAACGTTAAAGAAAAATTTACCCATTCCAGTGTTGTAAAAAGAAGGAAACCGCACACACACAAAGGCTCATTTAAGAAATGAAAGAAACTAAATCATATATGCGTTAACACATAATCGTGCTACTCCAATACTTAATATGTATGAAGTCGCCTTAAAAGCAATAAGTACTATATAGTAAGTTAGAATTTCAATCTTCTCAAGGAATAAAAGAATGGAATATGAATATTTTAGTATACTATAGTGAGAACAAAATATCATTAAAATGCATTCGTATTAAAATAATTACCAGTGTTGAGCAACATATATATTATATTGAAGGAAAAGCTTAGCATAAGTATTGCAGATATTTTCTACAGCTGGAACTATAAAAGAGTAAGTAAAAAATCTCAGTTATTTAGCTACAGAAAAAGCTACTTTACCTAGAATAGACCTAAGGCTATATATAAATATATTTATATGAACAAGATGAGGTCTGATATTGAGATATCTGACTTGACTAGACCACTTAGACTAATGCAGGCTATGATTAGGGCATAAGTTAGTAATCTTAAGAATTTTCTTTAGGTAAAGAAAGTATTCAAGACTTAAAACTACCAGTGTTGTGTAATGTAACAATTTTAAATGATTTTCTAACCCAGTTAATTCACTCAAAATACTACTAAAGCATATATATCCATAGTCTGTGCCCCATTTCTTTTCTATTTCTCATTAGGTAAAACGCCATAAGAAATACCCATGGCATTAACTATCTTCAACAATGTTCTAGTTTGGCTTTTTTACACCGAATAGAGTACAAGTGCTACTACGCACACAATTTACAGCTGTGCAAAAACAGATATGTTGTAAAAACAACAAATGCAGATATTTTAATTAATATTTAACAAGAATATATATAAACGATGCTTATAATGAAATCTGTATGGCTTGGTGTGTGTGCATGAGGGAGAGAGAGAGAGAGTGAGTGTATATGTGTATGTGTTTAGGGGCGTTTGTTGGTGGGCGTGTGTGGGCATAAACTGACTGCCTGCAACTTTGTCAAACTTTTGGATACACGACTTTCTTGTTGTTGTTGTTAATAATGTTGTTGTTGTTGCTATTGCTGTTGCTGTAGTTGCTGTTGTTGCTGCTGTATTGCGGTTGCGTTGGCAACTTCCAACGTCGACAACTGTTCACTTGCATGTCGTTGTCGTAGTCGTTGCTGTTTTTTGAGCTTTATGCGGTTTTTGCAGCCAACATATACATGTATATGTGTGTGTGTGTGTGTGTGTGTGTGTGTGTGGGTGGTCATGTGCTTTTGTGAAATCACAAACAAGTAGCATACTTTTGGGCCAAAACAATTGCCAGGCAGCCAACTGTAGCCAACTTGAATGCAACAACAACAACAAAATACGCAACAAAAACGCGCGCACTAGAAAAAAGCAAATCGACTCACAACTAACGACTGCGGACTGCCGCAAACTGGCTGTGCGTGTGTGTGTGTGTGTGTAACGCACAATACACTCACGCTCCCACACACCCACACCTACTCACAGTCACAGTCACACACACACAGCCACATGTGATGTCAATGCGCAGCAATTGAGTCTGCCTAGGCAAGCAGAGCAAGAGCAACAGAAATGGAGCTGGATTTCGAAATCTGCACACATGCTTGGTGCTTTTGCATAATGATACCCTGTAAGCATGGCAATAGGGTAGAACAGTGAGCGAGATGAGTGAGTTTGTCAAAGTGAACTTAATGAGCGAATAAATAATGATAATAAATATATTTAGCTAAATGCAGTCAATGAAACAAGACTGGGGAGCTATTCATAAGAATACCCTGTAAAAAAGTCAAGCAGGTATAACAGACTTCTGACTAAACTTTTGGGTCAGAAGGCTAATGAGAGGACTTTTAAGGGCAGCTATACATATTGATACTGAAAGAGAGTGAGAAAGAGAAAAATAAAGAGAGAGAGAGATAAAGGAAGAGTGAGAGAGAGAGAGCGATAGAGGAGAGAGTGAGAGATGGAGACTGATTAAGAAAGAGAGAGAGAGAGATGGAGAGATAGGGCGAGCGAGATAGAAATATAGAGATATAGAGAGAGATATGGAGAGATAGAGATAGAAACAGAGAGAGATAGAGAGAGATTAAGAAAGAGAGAGAGATGGATATAGAGAGAGAGATAGAGATATAGAGAGAGAGAGAGTATTGAAAGTCTATAAATATATTCAACAGGGAGGGAATCTTGCAAGTAAAAGTTAAAATTTATAGGTTAAGAGAGCAAACACATCTGATTAGCATAATCATAAGCCCCAGGAGTTTTTTTTTCAGCTTTATCTGTCTGGAAAGTTATCCAATTGTATACCCTATATAAAGATAAGAAAGGCTGTGCAAAGCCATAAGTAGAATATGTGGGATGATGAAAGTAGAAAATCCCTATATATACAATATATTTGAACAAAAGATGTGTGTGCAGTATATGGAAGGACTTGAAAGATTGAAGATCTACTTATAGGGTATCTACTGAACTAAAGCAACAGCAACGGCTTCAAAATTGCTCGCTGTCATAGTCTACAAATATTGTATATATTTAAAAGAAATTATTTATTTTTATTAGATTTATTTGTAGGGTATCTAAGAGTCGAGTCTCTCTTCTTTTGCCTCATCTTTTATGTTAACAGAAATTGCGCAAAAATAAATCCTGCATATTTTTCTTATAATGCCCGAGAGTGAAGCACTTTATTATGTTGCTAATTTGTCATGCAGCTGCGACTCGCGACATTTTGTTGTTGCCCTTAATCTCGTTGTTGTTGTATTTGTTGTTGTTGTTGTTGTTATGCACCAAATAATACTAGAGTGCAACTAATTTGCAAAAAATTTGTATTGCTGTCAGTTGTTTCTGTTGCTGCTGCTGTTGGTAGATGTTGCCGCTGTAACAGCAACTATTTCCGTTGCGATTTATAGCCGCACGTGTTGCGTCTGAGCGGCGTTAAGAAAAAGCGCTTGACAAATCTGTCATTGTGCGACACGCTTGTTACTATTATTATTATTATTATCATCGTCATTCTTATTGTTGTTGTTATTGTATTCTTTTTGCTGCTGCTGCTGCTGCTGCTGCTGGAGGAACAATGCGACAGCTGGAACAATGTCCGCTTGGGCAAGCCGCAAGCTCTCATTGTAATTGTTGTTCAACGAACTTTTTCCCTTTTCCGCTTTTACGCTTTTCTTTCGCAACTGCCTTGGCAGGCAGGATTTTCGTTGATGTTTTTTCGGGTTTTCCGCTGCCATTGCTGCTGCTGCTGCTGCTGCTGCTGCTGCTGTTGTCTTTGTTTTCTTTCAGTGCTTTTGTGTAAAGTGTTGTCTTGTGCTTTCTTAGCACCTGTCGAAATTGCGCAAGTGTCACTCGAAACGGGCCAACAACAATAACAATAACTACAACAACAATAATAATAATAACAAGTGTAAGAACAACAATCAAGTTCCACAACTCTTTAACCCTTTCAAGCACAAAAGCCTGTTTATTATTTGCATTCCATTCGGGCGCACGTGTCGTATACATTTTTACCTTTGACCCGCGCTAATGAGTTGTTTTTCCCGTTTTTTCTCGCTTTTTTTTTCCTGTCCACAAAACTAAATTCAATGTACAACTTTTATTTTTCCGAACAGCTGCAACTTTTGCCAGCATGCGAAAAAAAAAAAGAAATCCCAAACAAAATAAATATAAATGCGAAAAAAAAAACAAACTTTTGACGCTTAATGAACTAGCCACCGCAGCAACCGACTCTGGGGTTACCAGCTGCTAATTAATTTACATTAGCAAATTGCAAGCATGTAATTGACTTTTATTGGCATTTTCCCTGCAACCAGCAGCAGCAGCAAATAACAGCAACACAAATATCCTTTATGTACTATCAATATATATATATATGTATATATACATATATATGTATATACAATATA